CCATACCAGACCTGCGGCTCTCTGTCGTGAGTTGGAGACTTTCCTGCTGCAGTCACTCATGATGCACCGACGAATTTGAAGTTTCACCGAGCTCTTGACAGCTTTGTCTGAGAGGAACCGTCACTCGAACACATTCCTGTTCCTGAACTCCCAGATTACGAGGAACAGACATGCTCTGGGGGTTTGGGCGACGTAGCCCCAGCCCTTATCCAGTGTTAGGCCATCCGGGATGCCTCCTAATAGAATCCAACGATCATCCCATTGGAACACCGGGCCGCTGATCCGAGTCCAGTGTGTCGTCCACCAGTTCCCCCCTTTTGCAGTTCCATGCCCACACCCTACTCCGATTAGGAAGTCGCGCCGGGCGTGAGGTTGGTATCGGAGCCCGACACGTGGCTAAGCGATAAGGGTCTGTAGACTCAATACTGGCTAAGGCGAGGCGATCTGGCTCCACGTGGGCGCCCTCCAGCTAGTAATACGCGTCGACGTAGTCCTGTAGCTACACGAAGCCGAACCTCCGGCACAAGGCGAGCAGGCGCCATGGCTGCGGCCGTTGCGGCGGCCATCCCCAATCAACCGCCTAACCCGCCTGCCCGAACCCCTGCGGCTCCACCAGATCTTTATTTATTTGACCCAGCACATCATCTCGCCGGAGCATGGTTGGCCACGCTCCGAGCTCAGCTGTATACTAACGATGAAACTCATATCAACATCCCCGCGTGGATGGGGGGAGACGCCCATCATTGGTATAACACTTATGTATGGGTGGATCTTCCCACATTCGAGCGGGATTTCATGAACCACTTCGATTATGTTCACCCCGAACAAGCACTTTATATGATCAAGGATCGAGTCCAGAAACCACTCGAATCCATTACCGAGTACCGAACAGATTTCATCGAATGTTTGTAAAGACTGAGCGAGGCGAGCAGGTAGGCCGGGACCTGTTCATTGATGGATTACGTAACAGAACGATTCGGGGGAAGCTACGTAAAAACTTCTCTCCCATTAATCACACGCTGCAACAAATTATGGACGTTGCCGAAGAGATGGAGCAGAAATTCGCAGCTAGCTTCTTTGAAAATGAGGATTACGGTAGAGAAGGAGACTCTTCCGAACTTGTGAAAGCAAGGGCGGAACTGGCCGCACTACAAAACAAATTCGAAAACATGGGATTCGTAGCGGGACCCGTTACGTATGTAGAGCAGGTAACACTGAGGACCGCACCCCATGGAGCGACTGTAGCCAGGCAGATCCCGGTAATGGCGTCCCCAACCGTAACTCGGTCACCTCCACCGCCACCCACCATCGAGTCACCCGCAAAAACGAATGAGTCTACTGCTATCTTGGAGCTAACTAAAACATTGGTTAGTTTAATCCAAGAAAGCAAGAAGGAACAGCGAGAACACAACGCCCGATTAGAAGCTATGATGCAGAATATGCGACCCATTGCGGTGCGAGCACCAATGCAGGGAGGCATGGCCGCTGCACAAGTTGCAGCAGGGCTTGCCGGGACAGCGGCAAATGCCTGTTTTACATGTCATCAACCGGGACACTTGGCCTGAGATTGCCCCTATCGTGCCATGCAGCCTCGAGCCGGGATCGCGCCTGCAGCTGCAGCTCCCATAGCTAACGGTCCAGGATGTGTAGGAGTCGTGATGGATGATCAGGGGGGAAGTACGGGAATGATGATTTCCAGTGAGGAAGCAGCTGAGCTTATCCCGCTGGAGCAGTACGTATCACTAGGATACCCGGGGCTGGGAATGATTGGGACAATTCGACCGGAACTCGAGTCCAGAGATGTCGCCGAGTGGCGGCCTTCATCGAGCGAAATGGAGACGGGAGGCCCTACCTTTGTTACAGGAGAAACCGATGTCCTTGAGGTTACCCGAGCACTGGATCATCGAATCCCTCTCCCAATCGGCCACCTACTCTCCATCTCGGAACAGGCGAACGAACGTATGATGCATCATTGCAAAGCGAACCGGAAGCGATTCGCCCTTGCACGCGCAAAAGATCAGAAGATGAAGGCGCCGCCTTCGGAGGAAAAGGCGGACGTCGCCCCTGATCCCATCCGAGTCGGATTAATACAGAAAGATGACCACTTTCTTCGGATCAAGCCGATTCCATGGAAGTCAGCTGAATGTGATATTGAAGTCTGGGGAATGCCGTATAGTGCGATCATAGATTCGGGAGCGGCTGTCCTAGCGATATCACTCCGAGTAGTCGAGAGAGCGGGTAGGAAGAATGATTTGATTATGCTAACCGAGAAGGACCAGCTCGTATCGGCTGACGAGGAGAAGATCAAGACAATAGGGCGTATGACGAACGTCGCGTTCCGATTGGGAAAAGTGCATGCTTTAGGAGATGTTGTGGTGCTGGATGTGAATACATATGACGTTCTGTTCGGGCTTCCTGCATTGGTGGTGCTACGTGCTAATTTCGACTTCGAACGCCGATCCGTCATTCTCCGGAATACCGGGGGAAAGCTGTAAGTAATACCCATCAGACTAACTCTTCGAACGTCGGTTAAGGTAGTACCCCGAATTTCTCCGGAAACAATGGGAGCGCTCCGCATGGTCTCCTGGAATGCACCTGTGGACGGAGGCCAATCATCGAATGACGCGTGGAGCGATGACGATGACGAACCAGTCGTTACACAGTTATTACAGCAGCAGATTCACTACCCGCCGCTTCGCACTATTGCGCGTACCATGCATCTAACCACACGGAATGCTCATATGATGATCATGGGAAAACCCGTCGTACAGATTTCGAGGCTGGTTGATTCCTTGAAACCCCCTCGGACCCTGTACGAAGGCGTATCTCCCCTTCTCCTTCAGTATAGTGACAAGCGTTCCTTTCGTGATCTCACTAGCTTACCTTGATCCCTGCTTCAGCCCGCAAAAGAAGTTCAGTTGTTACGTTTGGGAGCCGAAGCATGTTCTTTGGAACCCCCTCAGCACATCGAGGCAAGATCCGATGAATTCGGGATCAAAATCTCGCCCAAAAACATGCCCTGGCGAGACATCTGCGACGGGATAATCCCCGAAGGTCATACAGCGATCAGGGAGGAGGAAGCACAGATGGTGGCCACTGTGTTTTCTTGGAGATCGGATCACTCTTTTATATCTGCACCGCCTGACACTACTCGGCGTATACACACGAAGCAGGTTAACGTTCGGATTTTGGATCAAATGTATGAATTGCATGTGCCCCAGTATGTACCTGATGAGATGCACCGGTTGATCGTTGATATTTTAATAGAATATCAAGGGGCGATTAGCGTGTCTGATGCCGATATTGGATTATCTGTAGTCGTTCAGCATGAGATTCAGACCGGGAATCATTCCCCGATCCACTGCAAGCCGTACCGATACTCGTTGACAGAGCGCAAGACGGCATTGCAGCGAATCAGGGAGTTTGAGGCAAACGGATGGATTGAGCCTGCCACCGGTCCCTGGTCGTTCCCAGTTGTGTTGGTTCCTAAAAAGAACGGGTCAGTCCGCATATGCATCGATTATCAAAAGTTAAATGATATCACGATTAAAAATGTGTATCCCCTTCCACGGATTGATGATCTACTTGATGTGATCGGGTGTGCTAACTACTTCAGCAAGTTCGACATTCGGCATGGGTTTCATCATATCTTGGTGAAAGAAGAAGATTGGCCCAAGACCGCCTTCGTTTTGTTTGAAGGCACGTGGCAGTGGGTTCGGTGCGCGATGGGAATCTGCAATGCGCCTGCCACGTTTCAGCGGGCGATGAACGTGACTTTTCAAAATTTCGTCAATAAGACGCGGCTGACTCAGGGGATAATTAACTTTTGTGTCATTGTGTACATGGATGACATTCTGGTGTACTCGGACACGTTTCACGGACACGCGCAACACATCGAGTGGACGTTGGGTGCGTTGAGAGACGCAGGTTTCAAGATTAAGCTGGAGAAGAGCGAGTTTTTCCTCCCGGAAATCTCGTTCTTGGGGTATGTGGTGACACGTGGAGGCCTGCGGCCGAACTCTCGAAAAGTCGCGGCGATCAAAGAGGCCCCGGTTCCGACCTTACTGACGCAGGTTCGAGCCTTTTTGGGCCTGGCCTCGTATTACCGGCGGTTCATCAAGGGGTTCGCGGCTATAGCAAGGCCTCTGACAAACCTGCTGCGAAAAGAACAGCCCCTTCATTGGGATGACGAGTGCGACACGGCCTTCGGGGCCCTAAAGGATGCTCTCGTCACGGCCCCGATTCTGATCCGGCAGGACCCCTCTCGGCAGTTTATTCTCATTACCGACTGGCAGCCGGAGGCTATTTCGGCCATCCTGGCGCAGAAGGGAAACGATGGGAAGGAGCATGTCATTGAATACGCTTCTCGGACGGTGCCAGACGAGCGACGAAACGATTCTGCGCCACAAGGAAAATGCTATGCGGTAGTGTGGGGTATCCAACACTTCCATCCGTATTTGTACAGTCAGAAGTTTCTGCTCATCACCGACCATGAACCTCTGTTGGCTCTGAAAAAGCTAACCAACTACACGGGCATGATCGGACGATGGGCGGTGCGGTTGCAAGAATATGAATTTGACATTGTTCATCGAAAAACAGAAAGACACGGCAACGCCGACGGACTGACACGTTTGCACCAACCCGGTAAAGTACCAAAAGCGGAAGAGATCACACCGTGGAAGGACCCGGACATCAACAACAGTCCAAAGTACGGAGAAGTTGCGGTTATTCCACGTGGCAAGAAGCCGGTGAAGGGCAATGGGTGACGGAGGTAATGTCCCGATTCCCTCTCTTTCTTCCCCATCCTCTTCTTTCGCCTCCCTTCCTGACAAATTTTGCTATTTCTGCGAGGCAATTTCTCGAGTCTATTCCGTCCACATGTGTCCAAAACGAACGGGATATGTTGAATGGGTAGACTGTCGGAAATGTGTCGCACGTGCTCACGGTGCGTGCATACAGTATCGGAGTAGTGATAGACCCTGGTTATGTCCCTTATGTCGCACTAACAAGATTCCGACGGAAACCCGATTCCTCGATGCCACGTCGGAAGGCCCCCACAAAATCCAGAAGTTTAGAAGGGCGGAAGTCTGGACAGATGTCGCCTTAATAGCCACGGTGGTAGGCAACTCCCTCGAAACCTTCTCCAAGGAGGATCGGAGGAGGGCCAATGAAAGAGCACGGGATTACCGATGGGTGGATGGACGGTTAGAGAAGCGTAAAACGGACGGCAGAGGAGCATGGTTAGTAGTTCCGCACCCGTTCATGCGGGACGACTGGGTACGAACCGCCCACAAAAAAACGGCGATGCATTTTGTCGTGCGTATTACCGAAGTTGCGATTGACAGAAATCAATGGTACTGGTCCAATATCCGGGACTACGTTAAATTCATCGTCCAACACTGCCAGGTTTGCGCTGCTGACAAGGCCCCAACCCAACCGCCTAGGTCGATAGTCCCAATAGTGGTTGAAAGGCCGTTTCAGAGGGTTAGTATGGATACTACTGATATAGTGGTGCCCCCCAGACCGAATAGTTGCAACTATTCAATTCTGATGGTTTTCGTCGACCACTTTTCTAAGTGGATCGAGGCCTACCCCTGCAAGACACGACAAGCCGCGGAAATTGCGCGGTACGTCAACCGGTTTCTGGGCATGCACCAGGACACAGAGGAGATCCTGACCGACAATGGGGTCGAATTTAGAGGAGGAGTCGAGAGGAACCTGGTCATACACGACGTCTCCATACGGCACACGGCCCCGCACATGTCCCAGTCTAACGGATTAGTGGAAAACGCGAATAGGGTGATAAAAACGGCCTTACGGCGGAATATTGCGGCACGAGACCCTCGACCCTGGCCTGATATTGTCAACCACATCTTGGCGGTCCATCGCGGAACGCCCCACGAATCGACGGGCCTAAGCCCCTTCCAGCTGCGGACCAATAATGCTGCGTGTGTATCGATACCGAGCCTCCTAGACGAATCAGGACTCAACCGACGCCCCACAAGGGCCACCGCTCGGGACAAAGCCAAAAGGCACCTGGAACTCATGGAGCGGTCCCGACCTAGATTGGCCCGAAAGCGCCAACGGTCCACCGAATTGGCCCATGGCCGACAGGTCCGGAGCTACGAGGCCCGGAACGGGAATGCGGGTCCCAGGACCCAGTATAAGTTAGGGGACATCGTGCAGGTTAGGAAATGTGCACGCCAGGGTAAACTAGCGCCACGATTCTTCGGAAAGTATCGAGTGATTGAACTCGGACCCAACGGCGTGGACACCGTGCGCCTCGCTCCCGAGATTTCCGGCAGTCAATCGGCTCGCCCGATCACACGCCACGTGTCCTATCTCCGTCTTCTTCCCTCCGTTCCGTCTCCTTCTCCATCAACCTCTCCCAACGACGACTCTATCTCCTCTGCATCTCCTTCTCCTTCTCAATCTCTGTCGAATACGCCGTCACCCTCGCCATCGCGATGAGCTTTATGGAGGAGAGAGCTCTAAGTGAAGAAGCACTGGTAGCACGGGGGAATTTGACACTGCGGCAGGTGCATCATCCTCGTCTTAGTCCGGACCTTCATCGGGTCACACAATTCTTCTGCTCGAAGGGCGTCTACGCGGCAGCAGAGATCCACGTCAACGGAAGGGCTGACGCGATCATATTGGCCGAAGCTGTCGGGTTGCGACAGCAAACATCTGTGGACGTCGGCCGGATAATGGTGGTGGTTAATTTCAGTGGGGATCTCGCGGTGATTCCCCCCATCCGACACACGAGAATCAAGGCGACGTTGCTTCTGTGGGCGCACAATCTTCAGAACGAGTGGACCCTGATCCTGGCGCACCAAGGGGAAGTGATCGCACCAATCCGAGCGATCGAATACAACGGCCTTCGGCTGGATCGGCGTGACTCGCCGACGCAATTACCCCCTCTCATCCCCTTCCATCCCCGATGAGTTCCTTCCCGATCTCTACTTTCGAGCTTCCTTCTTCTTTCCCCACCTTTTGGCCGTCTGATCTTCATCCCCGCCTCTCCTTTTGCATAGATCCTCTGGTTGTTCCCCTCCTCGATCCCTCTCAGTGGGATGCGTGGTGCAGAGACTTCATTGAACTCTCACTGTGTCTGGCGGAAGTACGGGTGACCTGGACGAGGGACGAGAGCAATTATCCACGGTCTGAGCGATTGGAGCTCCTTCTGATTCAGGCGTGGCGGACGGAAGTAGGGGGGGACCTTCTCGGTTTTCTATTCAGGGCAGTGCGTCCAGGCTGTCGGAGGCTTCTCACCCAAGAGCTTACGGTTCCAATTGCGCAGCTGGCCGACCATCTTGACGTCAGCATTGTCTCTCAGGTCGACCCGCGCTTGGTGCCCCACGTCACCTCGCGCACGCTGTCGCCGTATCTTCAATGGTCAGCTTGCGTGGAGGGCTTCCCATCGAGAATTCCGCCTTCACAGTTGGAATACTTGGATCCGCGCGACATCGTGGATTCCGCTTTCCACAGACCGTCGTGCGAAGACGAATTGGAGGAGATAATCCGCAAGGAGCTCGCGGAAGAAAGTTCGGAGGAAAAGGAGGAGAATCTGAACGAAGACGAAGGGGAGCCAGCACAGCGACGAGAAGGAGACGAAGACGAGCTCCTGCAAACGGAGAGCGAAGAGGAAGCAGAAGAAGAAGACAGCGAGCAAGGGAGCGGTGACGACAACGACGAGGAGCACGCCAACGAGGATCCCCAGCTAGAGATTGCGCCGGTTGCTGATCTTCCGATCAGCAACGATCCAACGCTCGACCCGGAGCCACCTCAGCCACACGACGGCCATGTGGCCCAGATGGCTGGGTCGTCCGCTCGCCGGCCTCCTTCCCCACCGCGACGCCGACGACGAAGCCGCTCCCCCTCCGCCTCCCTCTCCCTCGCGGCCCGTCCCCCACTTCGAACACGTCGAGATGAGGCCGATCGGTCTTCGTCCTCGGGCTCTCTCTCTCCGCCCCCATGACTTCCTCAGCCTGCGCCAGCTCACCCGTCCCGCCGTCTTCCCCCACAACCCCTTCCCCCGTGACACTTTCCGTCATTACTACTCCATCCGCCTCTCTGTCACAGTCCATCCCCACTCATCCTCCCGGCGTGCTTCCCCCGAGTTCCCTCTCCATGTACTTCTCTTCAGCGTTGGATGGTGTCGTATCAACGCCGTAGAGGTTTATTGCCTCATCACGGGGTTAATCCCCGCATGCGCCGACCGCGATCGCTTTCGCGCGGCGCTTCTTAGAACCTTCACCACTCTTTATCCCGACTACCTCGCTTCTCTCCCCACTACTGGCCGCCGATTCCCCCGCTTCCATAGAATCGTCCATCATCAGAGCCTTCCGGAAACGGACGATGAGCTGGAACGCTTCTTTCCGCCTATCCCGACTCATCCCCCATCAACACCTCTGTCTGCCTATCGACTTCCTTTTCCTCTTCCCCACGAGTGACGACAACCAGGATATGACTGTCGCGCAGCATGACGTCCACACTCGTTCGCACGGTATGCGGCAGAAAAGGAGATCAACCATCCACGGCCAATCAATCAAAGATGAGCGACACGTCAGCTAGCAAGCAGGAGCTTGCTTATCTTTGGAACCCCCTAGGCGTCACATATGTGACGAACTAGCTTCTGTAATGCGCGACTTTCGGCGCGAAGTGCTAAGCGGGGTCCCACGTCGATTGGACGGGTTGATGGAAAATTGCATGTGTGTCCTTGCTTTCTTCGTTGTTTCTTCGTTCGCGCACGAGCCCTTGATGACAGTTGGGGACAATTCGGGAATACCAGGGGAAAAAGGGGCAAAACTTGGTCGGATGTGGAGTGCGCGCCGAGTGCGCGATTAATAAACGTTGACGTCTCTTCTTTTCTTTCGTTTCCCTTCTTTTAATTTTGTTTTGTCGGACTTTTGGGGCGCGCAGACATCACGCGGGAATTTCGATGTCTCTTTTTGAATTTCTTTCTTGAATTTTCTTTTCGAATCTTGGTCGGAGCCATACGGCCTTCGAAATTTTGATTTTCTTTTCGGACCTTTTCGGCAGGCTAGCTAGGAATTTTGGAATTTTGGAATTTTTGTGTTTCTGGGGCGCTGCTTTGCATGCTCGCGCGCTCTTTCCTGCTGCTGCGCCGGAACCTTGATTAATTGGCGCCTTAATCCTTTTTGCAACTGTAATTTTTTGCGCACACTTTTGTAACTGTACCCTTCTGTTTCTTGCTTCTTCTTCTTCTCGCCTCGTTTCTTCCTCTCCCCCCTCCCCCTGCCTACATTGAGTAGCCGCGTTTGCATGTCCGAATCGATGCGTGGAGTGGGTACGTCCTCCACGCCGCAGCCCGACCATGCAAACGCAGGCACTCCCTTTCCCCCATCTATCTACGTCCTTGTAATTCCGTGTTCTTCGCGCATGCATGCACGCTATAAATCCCGGCTGCGCGATTAACGTGCTCTCTTAACAGTTGCTGGAAGCTCGGGGTTGCCCGATCGAGAGGGTCGGCACACGAGCGAAGTAAGAGGKGAGTRRAGTGGGAGTCGGGCGACCCGACGAGCTGGTGCCGAATGCGCGGGGTTRACGCRGGCCACGACGGACTKTGGGCGCGGAGCGAACCTGACGGGCGCAGGAGGACTAAGCGGGGTGACGGCTTCGTGTGTTGGTGCTCGACGACGGACTGTCGGCATCGGAGAGAGAGAGAGAGAGGAGAGAGAGAGTTGAGATTGAGGATGGGCATGGATTTGCGCTTTTCTTTTCGTTCCCTTTTTTATCTGTGTATATAAATTTTGGTGTTAATTACGGGCAATTCGCCCTTGTCTTTGCGGCCATATGCTCGTCCTGTTGTCCAATTTGGTTCTTTTTTTCCTTTTTTTTATCGATGATTTCTCCTTTTTCTTTCCTTCCCCGGAATCCTCTTTTGCAAATAATGTATGGATGGTTCGTGCACCCTCGCCTTTCGTTTTTGATCATTTCCTTCGAACCCTCGTACATGATGAGTGAAAATGGGGATTGCATGTTGGCGTGATCAATAGAGTGTGTTGGCTTGTTGTATCTTACGGATAGTCTGGAGCGCACCATCCGACGTGCCATAGGGACACATGCAAGTCCGATCCGGACGGAGCGCGGCTTACACGTGCCCCTACCACTCGGACTCGCCAATCACGTCTTAACTAATGCGCGTAGCCAGCCCCTCACTGAAGTAGGAGTCCACGTCAATCGGGATCGGGTTACCCATCACGAGTAAGTGCGCGTAAGTGCGACTTGTTCGCATCTCTCTTACGCACTTTCGAGCGGTGATCTCCTCGATTAACTTATCCCCCAAGACGTGAGTGATGAAAGAATGACGAGCTCGTGGAGTTCCGACGTATCTTGGAATTCTGAGGATTACGAGTCGTATTTCGGGGACCGGGAAATCTGGGAAGAAGAGCAACTCCGATTTTGGGGAAATTTGAGGAACCCGGTATTCCCCTGCCTCACAGAAAACGATAGATTCTGCGCTAGGGAATTCCATCTCGCCGTACGAGGCGACCCGTGGGGACCCGACTACCCAAACACGTACAACACGCAGTATTTCATAACYCCCGGCTTCGTCCTTGTCACCACTAATTTCCCGCCATACCACCTCCTCCTCCCCTATCATCAGCTTACAGTAGTACCGTGAAATTCCATACCACCTTATTGGCCCTCCACCCCGTGCCAAAGCTGCAGGCGGCGTGCCCATACCCGAACCCCCGAAGCCTCGGCACCTAGGCCTAGTTCCCACCAACCCACGCCACGTGGCGGGCTCCGCAGGAGTGAGCCCCAAAGACCGCCCCGACAGGCTCCCCAGAACCGGCGATCGCGTCAGGATCGGACGGCCCCGCACAACCAACGTGCAAGCCCGCGCCTGTAAATTTTCCCATTGCTCTATTGCATCTATGCCCCTGAACCTTGCCCGACGGAGATCTCAGTTCCGGCCTGGGACTCCACCCCCACTTTCCAAAAATCCGTGGCACACCCCTTTTGCAGTTCCATGCCCACACCCTACTCCGATCAGGAAGTCGCGCCGGGCGTGAGGTTGGGCGTCACAAGATGCATGCATTTAATCCTCAAAAGTGGAAAATGGACCCGGCTTTCCTTGATCAACAAAGATCCGTGCTTCGGGGCTTACTTCGGGTCTTACTCTGAAGGGTACATGAAGTCGTGAGGTACGGATCCCAGCTCATCACAGCTTCTCTCGTTTTCCTTTGTAATGGTTATGACTTTACTTGGTCTATGAAGAAGCAACACTCCTGATCTTTCTCTTCATGGACAGATAGCGTTGGCCTCGCTCCTCTGTTCTAAGTCTGGTCTAGAGACTAGCCAATCCGAGGCTAAGTGCCACTAGGGGGCGTTTACTCTTCTTTTGGAGTATTTTTCAACGAGGCCACAGTGTGGCAATGAGATGTTCAGATCGGATGGCAAAACCTGCTGTGTTCTTGAAACCAAGCCTAAACCCCTGCTGGTGGGACTTAGCCCCCGCAGTTGGGACGCACCTATGCGATCTTTTCCACTGCTGGGCCCGGTGATCGGTGGGCACTAGACCAATTCCCAACCATTCTTGCGGAGACGCGGTGTGCATGCTGCCGCGTCGTGCGGAATGTACAGGGGTGCCGTTCCGCTGGACATCCGCCAGGTAAAATGGGTCACGTGGGAGGCTCATTTTGCGTGGGCGGGTGTCCAGCAAAACGGTCAGAAACGGAGAATTCGGTTAAGTGGGACTTGGCCCCAGTGGTCACGGTGAGGCATGGCAATTTTTAGGCCCACTTTGGGCCCTGTAAGTCATGGAGGTGGATGGTTTATAAACGAATAAGCCATGGTCCAGACTCCAGATCTCCTCACACCCTCCCTCGCGGAGATGGTGCCGAGCTGTGTAGCACACCAAACATGTTCGGCGCCCCACCGAGCAGCCGAATGGGCGCTCGGCCGAGCGCGAACCGAACATGTTCGGCCGAGCGCAAATTAGAGGGCTGCCGAGCGCGTCCTCATGTGTGTGTGGTGTGTGTGGTGTGTGGGGTGTATGTGGGGTGTTTGTGGGATGTCTGGGGGTGCGTGTGTATGGTGTGTGTGTGTGTGTGTGTATGTTTAGGAGTCAGAGCGATGCCCCCCAGGGCCCCCCAACCCCTATATATATAAAAAATAAATAAAAAATAAAAAAAAATAAAAATGTTCGGGCTCGGTCAATTTTGGGTCATGTTCGGGCTCGGTACCGAGCATTCGGGTCACCGAGCCCTAGCGCGATGCTACGCAGGTGCCGAGGCAGAAGACAATCTAGGCTTTCTTGCCTCTTGAGTTCTGACTTTTTTTTTTTTTGAGTTCTGAGTATTTGGCACCAGGAAAATCCGCTTCACAGACTGGATGGATATCCAGTACCTAAACCACCAGTGCATTTCCCAGCTATTTTTTCATAGCCATGGCATGCATGCAGCCGTGACTCTCGGAAAGTACCGGGGGGCCGTTTCACTGGATATCCATCCAGGCAAAACAGGTCACATGCGAGGCTCGTTTTGCCTGGATGGACATCCAGCGAAACAGCACCCCGGTACTTTTTGAAACTTGCGCCTCTATGCAACGCGCATATTTGATTTCTTAGCTGGGAAACGTACAGGTGGTTTGATATACAGTCATATGGAACACAAGATGCTCTCGATGCATGGCAAGAGCAGGGAACATTCACGGAGCTTCTTCAGGAACGAAAGAACTCTGGCTGACAAAGGATGATCTCAAGAGAACCACGACTTGTGACGAGCACAGCGTAGCGATGACCATCATCAATCAGTCCCTGCTCCTCCTTCGCTTTCATCCCTCTCTCTCTCTCT